AGCAAGAGCGAGACCCTGTCTCTACTATAAAATAGAAAGAAATTAATTGGCCAACTAATATATATACAAAAAAATTAGCCGGGCATGGTGGCGAATGCCTGTAGTCCCAGCTACTCGGGAGGCTGAGGCAGGAGGATTGCTTGAGCCAGGAGTTTGAGGTTGCTATGAGCTAGGCTGACGCCATGGCACTCACTCTAGCCTGGGCAACAAAGCGAGACTCTGTCTCAAAAAAAAAAAAAAAAAAAATAGGAAAAAATTAATTGGCCAACTAAAAGTACAGAAAAAATTAGCTGGGCATGGTGGCACATGCCTGTAGTCCCAACTACTTGGGAGGCTGAGGCGGGAGGATTGCTTGTGCCCAGAAGTCTGAGGTTGCTGTGAGCTAGGCTGACGCCACAGCACTCTGGCTTGGGCAACACAGTGAGACTCTGTCTCAAAAAAAAAAAAAAATTGAAGAGGGTTTATGGATTACTTTTGTCAACTTTTAAAAAACCATTTTACTGCCAATAACCTTTCACCAGATCAGAAAGAGGAAATAAAACAGTTTAATATTCCTAGTTGAGAAAGCAAACGTTGGTTACAAGATTTGCGAATTATTGGCTACAGATCTATTTTTAATCCATCAAGGGTTTCATCCATGAAGGGTTAATTATATATATATTTAAAACTAAAACTAGAAGCACAAGGAACAAAAGAAAAAACAGATAAACTAGACTTCGTTAAACTTAAAAACGTATCAAAGGCTACCATTAAGAGAGTGAAAAGACAACCCACAGAATGGGAGACAATAGATACAAATGATGTATCTGATAAGAGTTTAATATCCAGAATATATAAAGAACTACAACTCTAAAAAAAAAAAAAAAAACCCAATTAAAAAATCATCAAAGGACCTGAATAGACATTTCTCCAAAGATACATAAATGGCCATCAAGCACATGAAAAGATGCTCAACACCACTACTCATGAGGGAAATGCAAATCAAAACCACACTGAGATACCTACTTCACACCCACTAGAATTGCTATAATTTAAAAAATGGAACATAACAAGTGTCGGTGAAGATGTGGAAAAATTGAAATCCTCATTAATTGCTGGTGAGAATGTCAAGTGGTGCAGCAACCATGGAAACAGTTTGGCACTTCCTTAGAAAGATAAACATAGAATTACCATGACCCAGTAATTCCACTCCTAGGTATATGGCCAAAAGAACTGAAAACAGGGACTCAAAACAGACACTTGTATAACCAAGTTCACAGCTGCATTATTCACACCAAAATTTGGAAACAATCCAAATGTCCATCATCAGATGACAATGTGGCACATACATACAACGGATTATTCAACCATAAAAAGGATAAAGTACTGCTATATACTATAGTATGGATGAACCTGGGAGATATTATGCTAAGTGAAATAAACCACAAAAGGACAAATATATGATTCCACTTACATGAAATATCTAGAATAGGCAAATTCGTAGTGATAAAAAGTATAATAGATTAGTGTTTACTAAGGATTGGGAGGAGGGAGGAGCAGGGAGAAATTGCTTAATGGATCCAGTTTCTGTTTGGAGTGACGAAAAATTTTGGAAATAGTGGTGATGGATGTTTAATACTGTGAATATAATTAATGACACTGAATTATACACTTAAAAATGGTAAAAATGGCAAGTTTTATGTTGTATGTTTTATCACAATTTTGTAAAATGAAACTGGGGGAGGGGGAAGGAAACTAGCATTCTTTATTACAGCCCTGGGTTTAAGTTCTGACTGCCATTTACAAGCTATGTGATGTTGAATAAGTTATTTAATTTCTCTGGGCTTCAATTTCTTTGTCTATAAAGTAGAGATATTATCCACCTCACAGGGCTGTTGAGGATTAAATGAAAGAACCTATTCACTTACCATAGTACCTGTTACATAATAAATACTGGATAAATGGTAGATGTTATTCAAAAACTATTGTTACTCATTGAGTAGGTGTTTGTAAGGCTGCTATAAATGGATATCTAAAAGAACTCCATGATGTTCCCAAGACACTCTGAAATAACGTCTAAAGAAATGAATGTCCAGTATTTAGTTATCCTCCTGTAGACCTGGTAACTAGTGACCACCAGGTTCAGTTCTCTTGGGATATCTCTGAATGTACAGAATGACACACCTAGAAAGTGAGATGTACTTTGTATATGACTACACTTTCATTACAGAGGTGAACAAAGAAGGTTGTTGGCTGTCTTCAATTAATATGATCTTACTAGGTTTCGCCATATATTTCTTATTTTAAAAAATCATAAGAGATTTAATTCCACAGCAAATGCCATGAGCAAAAGCCTTGTCTAGAGGCCCTAAGTGGCAATCCCAGCATCACAATGTCATCATAAGGCGGAGAACCATACAGAATATGTCTAAAAATGTCAAAACAATGGGAAATTCTAGAAGCATGGAAACTTGGAAAGAACTATTAATCTTGTATAACTTCTATGATATACCTGTCTTGATTAAAATTAGGCATTAAAAAAACAGTCTAAGTAGCTGAAACTCAAAAACTGAATTCTAGGCAAGGTATGCCAGAGGAAGATACTTTGTACAAATGATTCCAAAATAATAGATAACATAAATCTTATAATGTGAATTAAGCCATTTCCATATTCTATAGTCTCTTGCAAAAATTTCTCAAATTTCTTCAAAAAGGTTATCTACCTAATAAGGAAGTTTTTCTTGATATACATACAAAAATTTGCATACATAAGAGATGGTTCCAGAGGTAAAAGGAAAGTACAGTATCTCAAATGGTCAAAAAGATTTTTTTAAAAGTCATTTTTTTTACTAAAGCTGGCTGATATTTAGAAAGGGTCAAGCCATTCTGTGATGTTTGTACAACATTGTGAATGTAATTAAATCCATCATGAAAAGCATCTGAAGACTGTATCTTACTCAATGTTGATGATAAGAGAATCTTCATAACCCAATACATCCAGATTAATACTACTAACCACCACTGTATCTTTGAAAAGCTAAGGATCTGTGCCAATACCCTTAGGAAAAAGTCTTTCCCTTCCCAACAAAAACCTATTTAATGAGCAAGAATTCCTAAACATGTTAACTTGCAACACACCTGAGCTAATTTCATTAAACCTCAATTAACTCTTATGACAATAATGGAAAATAAAAGCATCCATAATTAATTCCAGAAACAATCCTTTTCCTTTTCAGAAACACAACCTCCTTCCCCATTCCAGTTATATCAGAGCCCATGCCCTCTCTCTCCTGAAGAAAGTAAGTTTGGTGGTTGATATTCCTTTTTCTAAACTTTACTTTGGAAAGGATTAGCACAGCTTACAGTCCAGAGAATTCAGTCTCAAAGAAACTGATACTATAGCTATCTAAATGGATAAGACTGGCAATAAATTACCCAAAGCTAAGATTCCATGCTTTTAAAAGCCCACACTAATAATGCCCAGCTGGTCATAAGTCACACTATCAAAAGGCTTAAATAAATTAGTTAAAATGTATTACAGGGAAAAATATTTATGACAATTTTTAAATGACTGTGAAAAAATAATTAAAACTAAACACTACCTATAACAAATACTGATATACTTTGGTACCACTAACAATCACCTCAATTAGAGGAAGAATTATTTTGATCCCCAATTTGACCTTAACCCAATGCTATTTTAAATCATGCCCTTTTTATCTTCCTGTTTTGTTGTCACTGAGGATCTCATTAATGTGCCACCAAGTAATGAAATGCACTATAAAGTAGCATTTTCATGCACTACTTTTTCAAGACCTTTACTGGGCTCTCAAATTATGTGCCCAGGATTTAGCTATACAGGATTACCCATAGATTTTAATAAACAGGCATGGCTAAACATGTAATCCAGGGAATCCATCAGCCAAAAGTTAGGAGTACTGGTTTATGCACAGAGCTTAAGTAACAGGGTAAAGCAACTAGTCTAAATGCTAGTATGTTAAGAAAAAGTTGTAAACCCTCCCACACCAAAACAATTTAGGAACTTACAAAAATGTGTCTAACATTAGGTCGGAATCAAACCCACTGCCATCTCTGCTCTTCCTACAAGCTGTTTTTAACTAAGATACTCCATAGAATGGACTCTGTAAAAGGTCACTTAAGTAAAGGTAGAATTAATTTTATTATCATATCGCCATACAACTACTACGGATTGGATTGAAATACTTCTCAGGACACGGCTATTTAATATAAAATAGAAGTGCGTTCCGTGTTAGGAAACTTTTGAAGTACTGATCCTACTGGGTAAGTCAGACTCTCAACGCATCCGTACTTTTACCCCACAGATTTCCCTTTACGTAAGACGGATCGGAATCTGCCTGGCCCACCCGACAGCACACCGGCCCACACCCGCGAGCCGCAGCGAGCAGCCACGTTTTACTCGGGCAGCCGTTTCCCCGCCCTCCCGGATACAATGCCTGCGGCCACTGGAGACGTCCCCGGCCGAGCTCCAGAAACTCGCGGTTTAAATGGCCAAGCTGGAACCGACCCGGGCAGCTGTCACCCGAAACCCGGGAAAGCCGAGCCCAGCCAACTCCGCCGACCGCGGACGCGCGCGGAGACGTGGCGGGGCCCGTCGGGGGACGCCTCAGCCGCCCGCCCGCCCGCCCGGCTCGCTCTCCCGCGACCCCGGCGCCGCCATCCTGCTCCTGAATAATTGAGCGGGCTGGAGCGCGGCGAGGCGCCCAGGAGCGCGGGCCGGGGCCGGGTTCCCGGCGCCGAGCCGTGCGGTCTGCGAGGCCGAGGCGACACCCCGGCGCGCCGGGGACTCTTATCCGGGGCTGGAGGCAAGGGGCGACCCCGCGGCCGGCGGGCAGCCGCAAGCCGAGCGCGGGGAGTGACGCGGAGCGGGGATGACAAAGGGGCGCGGGGGCCCGGCCGCGCGGCCCGCAGGGGTCGGGACAGGTGGCCGGGCCTGGCCGGGAACAATGGGGGGCCGAGGCTGCCCCCTGGCGCTCACCTACCTCCGGTGCCCTCCGAGTTCTCGTTGAGGCTGCCTGAGGAGTCGTGCTGGGCGCCCACACACCCGCCCATGGGGGACCCCGGCGCCTCGTCCGCCACCTCCGGGCGCTCGTCCGGCCCGCCGCCGCCGCCGCCGCCGCCTCAGCCTCCTCCGGCGCCACCGCCGAGCTCCGGACAGGCGCGCCGCTCCGCTCGCCCGCCGCGGCCCAGCCTCCGCCCCCCTCGCCGCTCCACCCACCGCCTTGGCTCGGCCCCTTCCTCCGCGCCCACTTCTGCCTCAGCCCCCGGGCCGCCCGCCCGGCAGGCCTGGCCCGCGCGTAGCCCCCGCCTCCGGCTCGGCCCCGCCAAGCCGGAGCTGGCCCATCCCGGGCGGGCCGCAGCGCCCGTGTCGCCCGCTCACAGCGCCGCACACCCGCGCCCAGGCGAGCCCCGCGCCGGCGCGTCGTCCGCGGCCCTAGCCCGCCCGCGGCGCCGCCTCCGCGCCGGCCTGGGCTCGGCCGCCCGCCGGAACCGCCGGGAGGGGCGGGGCCGCGGGAGGCCGCGCTCTGATTGGCTGCGGCGGCGGCGAGCGAGCGGGAGGGCGGGGAGAGAGCGGGCGGGCGCGCGGCGGAGGGCGCCGAGGCGGGAGCGGCGGGCGCCGGGAAGAAAGGAGCGGGCCGAGGGGGCAGGCAGGAAGGGACGGGCGAAAGTGAGGAGAGAAGTGCGCAGGGCGAGAGCGGGGTCCTGGCTCCTCGGCCGCAGCGCTTTCCTTCTGGTGGCGGCGGGGCGCCGGGGGCGCCGGGAGGAGTGCGGGGACTCGCGGGCGGAGCCGGGCGCTGTCCCAAATCCGGGGAGGTGGGGGCGCCCCGGCTGGCCGCCGCCGTCCCGGCACCTTGTGCGTTTGTTTGTGTGGCGCTCGGCGGGCTGCTGCCCGCAGTCTGGGCTGCCCTTGCCGCCCTTCCCCCACCCCTGAAACCCCGGCGCCCGCTGGGCGGAGGCCGGCGTGGCCGCGAGCCCGCCCGATTCCGATTCCCGGCGGGGTCCGGAGGGAGAGAAGCGCCGGACGCCGCTCCGCGGGCGCGGGTTTGTTTAATTTTTCACGAGGTGGATTGTTGGAACAATACTACTTCTCAAGATCCTGCCTTTAGGGATCTTAAATCATCTTTAGAACAAAGTGAAATAGGAATAAGTGAAACACCCTGCTTCTCTAATCTAGAATTTGGCACGTCGACCACGCCCAACATTCTTGGCGGTTACTTTTCCAATCTCAGCCAAATTGTCAAAGTCCCTTTAGAATCCTACTTCTTGCTATAACGCCTTAAAATTTTTATCGTCCTTCTCGGGCCTTTTTCTAAAGCTTATTTCTGCCTAACAGCTGTTTTAACTATCTGCTCCATTTTTATATCAGAATCTTTTTTTAACATCCTGGGTCAGCTTTTGCTTAGCATTAAAAAAAATTTTTTTTAAGTGAAATACCTAAGAAAGAGACACTCTGCAGTTTGGGATTTGCATTTAAATATATTCTCATACTGCTGGTGGGAGTGTAAATTGGTTCAATCTTTTTGCAAAGCAATTTGGCAATGCAGATCTAGAGACTTAAAGATGTTCATACCCTTTGACTCAGGATTATTCCACATCTGGAAATTTAGCTCACAGAAACAGTCCCAAATGCAAAAATTTAGAGATAATCAGACGTTAAACAAACAAAATCCTACGCTTATATTAAAGCACAGAAATGGCGTGAGATATAAAAGTCTGCTATACTAAACTTGTACTGAAGAATTAGCATTGTCCTCAGCTGTGGTCCTGAACATTCAAAAAGAGCTTATATACAATCGGTGTTTTTATGAGTTTTCAGAGGTTGCTCTGACATCAGAGGCTGTGCCACAAAGCCTTCTGTCTGATCATTCTCAGCTGAGTATTCACGTTGGCAGCTAGACATCACTTCATCATTTCCCTGAAGGAGAGAAGCTGCCTGCTGAATATTTGCAAAGAGATTGCTTTGTCCTGAATTTCGCACTAGAAATTGCAGAAACCAAGAATTCTACGATGTCTATTAAACAGATGGTAGGCACCCAAATGATGAGGGCTTTCTGATGAGCACTGAGGAGTTGGCACTAGGAAGAGACAGCAATCTCATGGAGACATTTTCAGCAACGGGTGTCCTCTGCCCTGCCTTTATCTTAGAACAGAGACACATGTTCCTGGAGGCAGAACAGTGTAGCATTAAGGGCCCCAGATCTGCTATTAACTTCCTGGGTTGGAGTCTGGCTTCCATTGTGTATTAGCTATACAACCTTAAATTTCTAGAGAGTTCAGTTTCCTCATCTGTCATACTGGGCCAATAATAATGCCTCAAGCTGTGTGGGGACTGTTTATTAACTCTTCTCTTTTTTTTTTTTTTTTTTGAGACAGAGTCTCACTCTGTTGCCCAGGCTAGAGTGAGTGCCGTGGCGTCAGCCTCGCTCACAGCAACCTCAAACTCCTGGGCTCAAGCGATCCTCCTGCCTCAGCCTCCCGAGTAGCTGGGACTACAGGCATGCGCCACCATGCCCGGCTAATTTTTTCTATATATCCAATTAATTTCTTTCTATTTATAGTAGAGACGGGGTCTCACTCTTGCTCAGGCTGGTTTTGAACTCCTGACCTTGAGTGATCCTCCCGCCTCGGCCTCCCAGAGTGCTAGGATTACAGGCATGAGCCACCACGCCCGGCCAACTCTTCTCTTTATTTTGTGTCTAGCATCACCTATCTAAACGTACTGCATAACACTTATAGAAACAATCCCTTCTTTAAAACACTTTTGTTTATTTCAGAATATTATGGGGGTACAAATGTTTAGGTTATGTGTGTTGCCTTTCTCCCCTCGCCCCCAGTCAGAGCTTCAAGCGTGTCCACTCCGAGATGGTGTGCATCGCTCCCATTATGTATGTATATACCCATCCCCTCCTCCCACCTCCTACCTGCCTGATTCCAAATAAATGTTATTCCTATATGTCCACTTAGGTGTTGATCAGTTAATACCAATTTGATGATTAGAGATAATCAGGCATTAAACAGTGTGGTGCTTGTTTTTCCATTCTTGGGATACTTCACTTAGTAAAATGGGCTCCAGATCTATCCAGGATAACACAAGAACAATGCTAGATCACCATTGTTTTTTTGTGGCTGAGTAGAACTCTATGGGATACATATTGCATATTTTATTAATCCACTCATGTATTGATGGGCACTTGGGTCGTTTCCACATCTTTGCAATTGTTAATTGTGCTGCTACAAACATTTTAGTGCAGATGTCTTTTTTATAGAATGTCTTTTGTTCCTTTGGGTAGAGGCCCAGTAATGGGATTGCTTGGATCAAATGCTAGTTCTACTTGTAGCCCTTTGAGGTATCTCCATATTACTTTTACACAGAGGTTGTACTAGTTTGCAGCCCCACCAGCAGTATATAAATGTTCCTATCTCTCCACATCCACACCAACATTTATTGTTTTGGAACTTTTTGATAAAGGCCATTCTCACTCGAATTAAGTCATATCTCATTGTGGTTTTGATTTGCATTTCCTGATGATTAGAGATTTTGAGCATTTTTTCATGTTTCTTGGCCATTAATCTATCTTTTTTTGAAAAGTTTCTTTTCATGTTCTTTGCCTACTTTTTGATAGGGTTGTTTTTTTCCTTGCTCATTTTCCTGAGTTCTATATAGATTCTAATTATCAGCCATTTATTAGATGTGTAACATGCAAATATTTTCTCCCATTCTATAGGTTGTTTGCTCTTGTGATAGTTTCCTTGGCTGTGCAGAAGCTTTTTAATTTGATTAGGTCCCATTTATCTATTTTTCTTGTTGCTGTGATTGCCTTTAGGGTCTTCATAAATTCTTTGCTGAGGCCAATGTCTATAAGAGTTTTTCCAACATTTTTTTCTAGAATTCTTATAGTTTCAGACCTTAAGTTTAAGTCTGTTATCCACCATGAGTTGATTTTTGTGAGAGTTGACAATCCATTCTTTTTGTGTGTCCACATGTGGTTTTCTATTGTTTTATATCTTTATGGAAATATACATATACCATATATTTCACCAATTTATTTTTAATTGACAAATAATTGTATGTATTTATGGGGTACAATGTGATGTTTGATATATGTTTACCATGTAGAATGATGAAATAAGGTAATTAACAAATCCATGACATACTTATTTTGTGGTGAAAACATTAAAAATCTCCTCTTTTAGCAATTTGAAAATATACAATGTTTTATAATTATAGTCACCATTCTATGCAATAGATCACCTAAGCCTGTTTGTCCTAACTGAAACTTTGTACCTTTTGATCAACATCTCCCTTTCCCGCATCCACCCTCCCACCCCGTCACCAATTTAAATTGTACAACTCAATGGTTTTTAGTAAATTCACAATTTTAGAACATTTTCATTACCTCAAAAAGAAATCCCATACCTGTGAGCAGTAAGTCACCATTTCCTTCCACCCCACTCCCACCCAAGCCCTAGGCAACCACAAATCTATTCTGTCTCTACAGGTTGTCTATTCTGGGTATTTCTTGTAAATAGAACCATACAATAGGTAGTCTCGTAACTGGCTTCTTTCACATAACATAATATTTTCAAGGTTCATCCATGTTATAGTGTGTATCAGTTCTTCATTCCTTCTTATTGATAATATTCCATTGTATGGATAGACCACATTTTTATCCTTTTACCAGTTGATGGACATTTGGGTTGTCTCCACTTTTTGGCTATTCTAAGTAAAGTTGCTGTGAACACTCATGTACAATTTTTGTGCAGACATATGTTTTCACTTGTCTTGGGTATAGGAGTAGACTTGCTTGGTCATATGGTAACTCTATGCTTAACTTTCTGAAGAATTGGCAAACTGTTTTCCAAAGTAGTTGCTCCATTTTACATTACCACTAGCAATGTATGAAGGTCCCCATTTTTCTACATCCTTGTTAACACTTATCATTGTCCATCTTTTATTGTAGACATCTTAGTGGCTATGTAGACTATCTCGTGGTTTTGATTTAATTTCCCTAATAAAGTTGAGCATCTTTTTATGTACTTATAGACCATTTATATATCTTTTTTTGAAAAATGTCTGCTCAGATACCTGTCTTTTTAAAATTGAATTATTTGTCTTTTATATGGAGTCATAAAGGTTTTTAATATATTCTGGATATGACTTCCTTAGCAAATATATGATTTGTAAATATTTTCTCACATTGTAGGTTGTCTTTTAACTTTCTTGATAAGAGTCTTTTGAAGCACAAAAGTTTATAACTTTTTAAAAAAATTTTTAGAGATGGAGTCTTGCTACTTTGGACTCAAATTCCTGGGCTCAAGCGATCCTCCCCCCTCAGCCTCGTGGGACTGTAAGGCACATGCTGTCAGGCCTGGCTAATTTTAATGAAGTCCATTTTACCTATTTTATTTCTTTGGATGCATGTGCTTTTGGGCTCATATCTAAGAAACCATT